TAGCGTTAGCCCTGAGGAAGTCACGTGACCAACGTGACGTAACGCGTAGGGGTTCAATGACTCACTTTCAGTTTGGACGCCATCTTTGTACACCCATGCAACTACACTCATTGCAAGAGGTTTTCCTATCTATGCTTTAAACAAAAAGGAAGATAATGTGAGTGTGCATTTTGGAGGTCCTGTTTGCTATATACATTTGATATTAAACGGTATTATATTGTTGGAGCTTCTGCTTATATTTTATTATGAGTTTACTGGCCATACTTTAAGGTATTACGGGGAAGGAGGTGTGCCACTATATATACCTGTCTGAAAGAGGGGAACCACCAAGGAGAAAGTGACGCGGCTATGGAGGAGTTACATACATGAAGGATCCAGAAATAGCGATCCTAAAAGCGTTGTGACCCTGTGTGTGTCAGCTTGGTGTCATCTGCAAAGACTAAAAATGGTATTTATAATCCCAGACCCTATATCGTTTATAAATATATTAAAAAGTAAGGGTCCCTACACTGAACCTTGGGGTACACCACTGACAACCCTAGACCATTATGAATCATTAACCACTACTCTCTGAATACGATCTTTTAGCCAGTTTTCTATCCATTTACATACAGATTTTTCCAAGCCTGTAGACTTTACCTTACACATTAGCCGTCTGTGGGGAACTGTGTCAAACTTTTGCAAAATCCAAGTATACCACGTCCACCGCCACCCCTCTGTCCAAGGCTTTGCTCACCTCCTTATAAAAAGAAATCAGATTTGTTTGACAGTTTCTGTCTTTCATGAATACATGCTGTCTGTTGCTTAATATATTTTTTTCCAGCAAGAACTCATCTCTGTGGTCTTTATTTATCTTCCCAACTATAGAAGTTAAGCTAACAGGTCTATAGTTAGTTGGTAAATATTTTGACCCCTTTTTAAATATTGGCACCACATTGGCCTTACGCCAATCCAGTGGTACTATGCCAGTCATTAAAGAGTCCCTAAAAATTACAAACAATGGCTTTGAAATGACAGTTCTCAATTTTTTAATGACCCGTGGGTGTATGCCATCTGGTCCAGGTGCTTTAGTCATCTTCATTCTGTCTATATATTTTTGGATCATATCAATTGTCGGCCAATGTGGAACATCTGGAGCTGTGTCAATACCATGCCCGTTATGGACTATGGAGTATTTTCAGAGTTAGTCAAATCTCTTTTTTGGCCCATTTTGCCTGAGAAAAAGAAGCTACCTAAAAATGATGCACACCTTGATATAGGGTGTTGATCTCCTTAGGCCACACCCTCCCTCATTACACAAATACACATCATCTGATATGCTTAAATCCAATAAGCATTCAAATGTATACAGCTTGGAGTTGGACAATATGCGTAAAAATGATGATTTGGTCAAAATACTCACTTGCCTAATAATTGTGCACACGGTGTATAGTAAAGCACATCTAACCCCTAGGAAAGCCGCAGGTGCAGTGTGCTGCCCTCACGTTGCAGGTAAACACAGAGCATCAGTGTGAAAGCAGGCTTATAGAGGGCTCAGGACAGTAAGGGCTCATTTACATTTGCAGTTTGGAGGGGGGGGTAAAGCCTCATTGTCAAAATGTGTTTTTACAACACCCTCCAACCACTGGTGTTGCTTCAGTGGTTGCAATGGCGATCCTGCCCCATGCTCCATGGGGCTTTTGCGGCCTCCCTATGACATTCTGTTTTACACTTGGACAGGAGGAGCAGCATATACAGGAACTGATCCTCCATTTTCCTCCTGAAATCGCTCCTCTCCCTCTACCATTCAGCGGCTGTAGGAGGAAAATGTGCATTATGCTATTCAAAAACAAAAATTAAATTCTGAACCATTTTATTTCATTGTGGCCCACAATCGGTTACCAAATCACTTAAGTGGCTCTCACTCTTTGAAAGGTTGAAAATCCCTGTTTTACAATAAAGCCTAAAAAGTCCTGAAAAGTACAATATGCAATTAAATTAGCAGGCCCCATAATGAAAATATGATGCAGATAATTAACTACACAATAAAGCCCGTTTTCATTAAATACCACTTATTCTACAAAGGAGGAAAGCTCTCTAAATAAGCATGAGATAGGAAAAATTCCATAGTTTAGTTTTTCAGGGCTTTTTTTCTCTCTTTTCACCTGGCATTCCTGCAAATAACACTAGTTAAATAACACGAGTCCTGTCCCTGGGTGACTCTTTCTATTTACATTCCTCTCCTATACTGTATATATTTCACTCTCACATTGTATCTATGAAAGGAGCCTTGGTTGTCACCCAGGCTGGACTTAAAAATGTTTGCCTTTATTTATTTTCATTACATGGGAGTTGTGAACATTAGTAGTTTACAAAATAAAACAAAAGTTCTGTACTTAGGGGGATTTGAGGGTGGTCAGAGAGAACTGTATACAGTAGAGTACAGTACAGTGTTGCCAACCTCCCACAGCATTTTTACTAACAAAACATGGACAATTTACTGACAGATCACATTTTTACTGACATCCTAACATATGACAATGAAAACTAAGACAATCAATATTTAAACAGTATAAACACAATATGGAAACACTAACAATACCCAGAACAAGTTATTTGCCTGGTTTGCACATACAAAAGTCAACACAGCATGGCAAATTATCAGTCTCTGACATTTACAGTTGTAAATAATTACTGATTTTTACAAACTGTCCATAAATTTACTGACAGTTGACAACCCTGGTACAGTACTAACTAAAGAGTGTTAAATTGGTAGCAGAGGTATGCTGGGGGGACATTAGTGACAGAGGTGTGGTGGGACTACATTGGCAGCAGAGGTTTGCTAGGGGGTACAGTGCCAAAAGTCATGCACCAATTTGTCAAGTGCAGGGTATCACAATACATATTAGTTCTTTATTGCGTGCGGTGGTGGCTGCAACACAGGAAGGCGCATTTGGGTGCTATTCCCAATGAATGGCACCTCCAGCCTTGATGGACCCTCAGTGGAAAGGAGTGGGGATTAATATACTGACCACTAGTGCCTTGGGAGGAGAGATTCTTATTCCCACTAATGCAGATGCTGAGAGGGGGGATTCTTCCTCTCACTGATGTTGATGATAGGGAATTCTTTCACCCACCGACCAAAGTAATTTTTTCCTGCTAAAGCCTTTGCTTTTTTTACATCCTCTAATTTCCTGATAATCTTGCCACCCACTGGCAATAGCATGGCCGCTCTCACCATTCCATGGTGTTGTCCACAATCCGGTATGGCTCATGATCCAGGGGGAAATCTGCACAAGGAATACTCATGATATGAGGTCTGATCATTACCCTAACGGGAACTGTGTCAATAACCCACTCTATAGCCACAACATGACAATCAAGTTTCAATGGACTGAGAATCTATTTCCTGGGAAACGACTAGGTCATTAGCCAATATCACGGTGGTGAGTGGGGGGCATTGTTTAAACATTGTTAATGTTACTGCACACCTCATCTGAAGTTTTACAATTTATTCTCAGCTTCATAATACATTTTGCCATGTTGTAATCTGGAGGAATTCCCAGAAGGGATAAAGATATTTACATATTTTTATGATATATGGAGGCTTAAACCACACAGTTTTCAAGCTATGAAGGAACATGGGACAGTATGAATCTTTCAACACTGTATAATTCCATGGGAACTCCTTCCTGCACTCTACAAATGGACATACTCATTTCTTTTTTCAACTTGCATTTTGTTGCAGTTCTCATGGATTTAATGATCATGATTATGCATATCTAGCTATATACTTGGCTAATTTTTTTGACTTACTGCTATCATTGTATATGCAGGATATATATGTGCACAACATAAAGCCTTGTGATACATGGCTGAATTTTGGCTATTTTTGCTAATATGCTGCTGTATATCTCAACCAGTCAAAGTGAATACCACTAGAAATATTCAATGTTGCAAACCAGATTGCTTGTCGTTCATTGTTTTTAATGTGTATTCAGTGATTGTATATGCCACCATCCACGGACACAACTGTGATAAAATATTTGGTACCAGGAGTGGGGTATTTGATTTGCGTGAACTAGAGCTACGAATAACAGACTGTGTAATAACAGGATTGTGCTAGATTGTTTGTGCTGGGTTTAAAGCTGTGTTTTTGTATTGTAAATCATATTAGATTCATTAAGTATAGAAATTGTATAATTTGTTTAGCTGGGTTAGGGTAGACGCTAGATGATCAGGTGCCAGCTTATTCCTGCATTGGTGAACCCCATTTTACTCGCAATCCTTACCAATTGTTGAAGGAATTGTTTTAGTCTGATTAAATGAAACAAAAGGCTGATATGTCAAGAAGCTTCAATCTGTGGTAGTAAAAAGGCATTGGACTCTTGGCTTCAGGCAATTTCAAAGTGATTAGCTTTTTTGAGGTTTGGAAATGATGAGCTGATGCTCAGATTGTGATAACTGCAATAAGGTAAGGTATGTGTGTATCTAAACATTGAGCTCTTTCTGTTGTTTGGTTTTTAGCTAGCTAATGATGTTACTTGTATGTAGACATGGTGAATACATGTTGTTTTGTCTATGGTAAATGTGACAATGTTACCTGAATACCTGAAAGACAGAAAGGTGACGCTAAGTGCTGATATTTTGGAAAACACGTTTTGCTACTTATGTTTGAGGGTCTAAGTAAGTTTAACCACTTCAAGTCCAGACACTTTCACCCCCTTCCTGTCCAGGCCAATTTTCAGCTTTCAGCGCTATCGCACTTTGAATGACAATTTCGCGGTCATGCAACACTGTACCCGCATGAATTTTTTAGCATTTCTTTGAGACAGATAAAACTTTATTTTGGTATTTATTCACCACTGGTATTTTTATTTTTTTGCTATATAAATGAAAAAGTCTAAACATTTTGAAAAAAAAAGTGTTTTTTCTTATAAAATCTTGCAAATAAATAATCTTTCTTCATAGATCTTGGTCAAAATGTATTCAGCTATCTTATTAGTAAAACAAAAACCAAATTAGTTTATAACCAAAAATTATAATTAAAAAAAAAAAAAAATTTTTTTTTTTTTTTTTATATTACTATTTATGTTTTGTTTGTTTTTTTGTTTAACATAATGTCACCCTAGCAGTACAGTGTCCAATAGTGACACTGTACTACTTGTGGGGGGGGGTGATGAAGATTTTTTTTTCTTTTTTTACACTGATTGCTTTTACACCCCTAAAAGGCTGTAAAATCAATAATTTTTCCTCCTGCATTCTTGCAGCCATTGAGAAATACTGTGAAAGCTGTGATTGGTCATAGCTTGTCACATGGTACAAGACTGTTGTGAATAGCCTTGTACCATGTGACCTCTGTGATCATTCACAGATTTCACAAGTAGTAAGCAATGATTTCAGGAAGTGACATCTTGCTTACTACTATTCATGTGATCACTGATTGGCCAATCAGTGATCACATGATCAGGACCTCACACAGAGGTCCCATACAGTTATCGGTGTTCCTCTGTGTCCAGAGGACACAGCAGGCACCGGATCGCAGTGCCTCGTTTTCCCAGGGAGCGCACACAGTCAGAGAATGCGGGTGCCATTTATAAATGGCAACCCACTTCGGCACTGCCCCCGTCCAGCCGTTTATGTACATGGGCCGGACGGGAAGTGGTTAACATTATAAGAGATATAGGTACTGAAACTGACAAGTTTTGTAAAGAGGTATATGAGAAAAGTGAGAACATTTGTATGTTTAATGAAAAAAATTAAAAAATCATTTGCAGCCAAGATGGCTGTAGTTTGTGCATGTGTGGGTATGATGTGTGTGTGTAAGAGAATTCTCGTAAGACAGCTGGCGAATAGACGTGCACATGCACACAGAAATGCACGATCACGCACGCGCACGTGCACATGCACGGCGAAGATTGGCACCAGACGGACTATTTAAAAGGTGCCTCTGCCTGTGCTGAGTGCTGACTGGTCTTCAGCTGTTCCCCGTTTCCTGCTTGTTCCTGTGTGATTTCCTTGTTGCTGACCTGGCCTGTTCCTGACCTGACTCTGATTACTCTTCTGTTTGATACTGGTTCCTGACTTCGGCTCTGCTCCTGACTTTGGCTTGCTTATGATTTGGTACCTCGCTGTCCGCCCGTCAATGACCATGGCTATTCCTTTGATACTGCTCCTGTCTCCCTTCCCTGCTTCCTGCCTTGCTCTGATGCACACCTGGTGATCTACCATACCAGCTCTGCATATTACTACTGTGCCTGAATCAGAGGTTCATCAGTCTTCCAGAGTCTCCAACTGCAAGAGCTGCAAACAACATCTGCTGGTGCTCTTGTCCCCCCGGTCCCTAGACACCCTCTGTTCCACTTCCAGTGGGGTCAGGGCTACTGACACAAGTAAGGCCGACCTCGTCATTTCAGTCTCGAATCAGGAACGTGACAGTGTGTTTGTATAACAGAGGGAGACAAGTAAGAGGGAGATAGTTTCTAGCCTCCCCCTCAACCCCGCCACCCCCTTTTCCTGTGAAATGGGGAAATGTTTATCTTTTGACTTCAAGTACCAGCTATAAAATGTAGGTTATAGATATGAGAGATTTTATAAGGCAAATGGAAATGTTTAAATTTTGCAAAATAAAATATTGGTTGAAATTGTTAGTTTTTATTATGTAATTTATCAGATATTTGAAAAAAAGGAAAGTAAAGAAAATGGCTGACTGAGGCCGACACCCTTTACATTCCTGAAAAGCAGCCAATATTAATTTAATTATTTAAATTTTTAGCTCTCCATTCCAGCCTACTGGGCTTGGGAAAAGAAGAAGGCAGCACCCACTGACAAAACCATGTCACACCTTTCTAATGGCAGTCATTTATACAAGGTGATGGAGTAGTAAAGACCAAGCTTAGAATATTTTTACTTAACAGTATAAGACATGACAATAGTGAATGATCACACTGGCGATGAACGTGCATATCAACTTGTATTGACCTTTATTGGTAAGTGTAATGAAGTGTGAAGTGTGATATTCTAGAATACAACAATAATAATTTTTTAAGTTTTTCATTAATATAGGAGGAATCAGATCTGTTCCTAGAAGTTAAAGGGGAAGTTCCGCTTTAATGCTTTCTTCCCCACTCCCCATTAAGGATTGGCAGCTTTGGGAAGCGGGTACCAGAATTTGACAGGTACCCACTCCCACTTCCGTTGTGTTCGCTTAGGCCAGGGGTCCTCATACTTTTTAAACAGGGGGCCAGTTTACTGTCCCTCAGACCGTTGGAGGACCGGACTATAGTTTTAAAAAAAAAAAAAACTATGAACAAATGAGGACACAGTACAGGAGATGACCAGAGACTGCAGACACAGTACAGGAGATGACCAGAGACTGCGGACATAGTACAGGAGATGACCAGAGACTGCAGACACAGTACAGGAGATGACCAGAGACTGCGGACACAGTACAGGAGATGACCAGAGACTGCGGACATAGTACAGGAGATGACCAGAGACTGCGGACACAGTACAGGAGATGATCAGAGACTGCGGACAGTACAGGAGATGACCAGAGACTGCAGACACAGTACAGGAGATGACCAGAGACTGCAGACACAGCACAGGAGATGACCAGAGACTGTGGACATAGTACAGGAGATGACCAGAGACTGCGGACACAGTACAGGAGATGATCAGAGACTGCGGACAGTACAGGAGATGTCCAGAGACTGCAGACACAATACAGGAGATGACCAGAGACTGCAGACACAGTACAGGAGATGACCAGAGACTGCGGACACAGTACAGGAAATGACCAGAGACTGCGGACACAGTACAGGAGATGACCAGAGACTGCGGACACAGTACAGGAGATGACCAGAGACTGCGGACACAGTACAGGAAATGACCGGAGCCAGGTAAGACACAGCAGCCCCCTGCCCACCCCTGTACTTAGTGTCACTTCCTCGTGGCAAATACGCCCCTGCCGGCGGGCCAGATAAATGGCCTCGGTGGACCGCATGTGGCCCGCGGGCCGTAGTTTGAGGACCCCTGGGCTAGGCGATCGGGAGCGGAATTTGTCCTCCCACCGCTCCTTCCCTGTAGTCTTTTGGGACACATGACAGGTCCCAGAAAACTATGAGGACATTCACAAAGCACATGCGCAGTGGGCACCCGGCTGTGAAGCCGCAAGCTGTCACAGCAGAGTGCCCACACTAAAGATGCCGGCACCAGGGAGAGAAGACGGCCGGTGAAACCAGCGGTGGTCAGGACACCACTGGACCGAGGGACAGGTAAGTGGCTGTATTTTAAAAGTAAGCAGCTACAGTTTTTGTAGCTGCTGACTTTTATTTTTTATTTTCAGCTGGGACTCCACTTTAAGAAGTTTCCAAGATCTGTATAGTTTGGATTGAACAAGAGCCTGAGATAGATTAATCAATATGGTGATATATAATCATTGTGCACAAATGTGATGAATACATTATTATTTTTACTGTGAATGTCATTTCAATCATTGTGAACTAATGACAACGTTTAGGCCCTGCATGTTATCCTATGTGTTTATGCACACATAAGCTTTTAGAAGTGTTTTCTGGCAGGAGAGTTTAGTGGCAGAGAAAAAGAAACCCTCTGCCAGTGCATTCTGGAGCAGCAGCGTTTTGGCAGAAAAAACCCTGACAGCTCCTGAACTCTGCTACGCGCTGGTACACAGCTGGTGCTCTGATGGTCAAGTATCTGAACTATTCCATCTGCTCTGATAGTCAAGTATCTGAACTATTCCATCTGCTCTGATAGTCAAGTATCTGAACTATTCCATCTGCTCTGATAGTCAAGTATCTGAACTATTCCATCTGCTCTGATAGTCAAGTATCTGAACTATTCCATCTGCTCTGATAGTCAAGTATCTGAACTGTCTCTACAGATAAGCCAAAGTTCCATCTGGCATGATGGTCAAGTACCTGCATATCTATGACTTTTGAACTGCAATAGTCCGGAGGACAAAAATGGACTTTGTATAAGTTCTGCAGCAGTGCAATTGCTGTGCTGCAGCTGCGATCTGATCATTGGATGTCTTATCTGCTGTCCATCACCAGATATGGAGGACTTTGACAAGCTTCTATGCTTCTAAGCGCTTGGAAAGTTTGATCTTCATATCTGCTCTTGTGCTTTTGAATTCTTGAAAGAGAAAGTTTAGTGTTCTTTTGTTAGTCCAACAAGTAGTTTTTTATACTTTTTTATATTTTGATATTTTTAAGCCCTAACATAGCCGAATGACATTTCCTGTGTAGGGTAAATCAGACAGAGAATGTAGGTAGATACACTTTGGATAAATAAGACAAGTGATCCCTTATTTCTAATTTGGGTGAAAGAATGTAAAATAATCAGGTGCTTTTCCTCCAATGTTGACATGTAGACTTTATACATTAGTGAGACACAACTCTGGATGAATAAGCACAGGAGGCACAGCAGACAGCGACATTGTCAGTCGGGGGGGGGGGGGGGATGTAAGTGTTAAATAAATTAGGATCTTTGAATACAATAACAAATTGAAGCCAAACTCCAGCTCACACTTTATAATCAGTTACAGCAAACAGTTATTGGACCTTTTTGGATAAAGGTTTTACAGTGGATATAACAAGTCTAGTTAAAATGTCAGGATTCTGTGATGTAAAAACATGAGACAAATAAATAATTTCAGAACTTTTTCCACCTTTAATGTAACTTATAAACTGTACTCAGTTGAACAAGAAACTGAAATCTTTTAGGTGGACCATAACACATTTTCCCACATGCTTTTGGGAGACTTCAGATGTGTTTTTGCTAAATTTGGTCGGGCTTGGATGTTTTTCTTTGTAAGAAAAGGCTTCTGTCTTGCCACTCTACCCCATAGCCCAGACATATAAAGAATACAGGGTGATATTGTCACATGTACCACACAGCCAGAACTTGCCAGATATTCCTGCAGCTCCTTTAATTTTGCTGTAGGCCTCTTTGCAGCCTCCCAGACCAGTTTTCTTCTCGTCTTTTCAGCAATTTTGGAGGGATGTCCAGTTCTTGGTAATGTCACTGTTGCACCATATTTTCTCCACTTGATGATGACTGTCTTCACTGTGTTCCTTGGTATATCTAATGCCTTGGAAATTCTTTTGTACCCTTCTCCTGATTGATACCTTTTAACAATGAACTCCCTCTGATGCTTTGGAAGTTCTCTGCAGACCATGGCTTTTGCTGTAGGATGCAACTAAGAAATTGTCAGGAAAGACCTACTAGAACAGCTGAACTTTATTTGGGGTTAATCAGAGGCACTTTAAATGATGGCAGGTGTGTACTGACTGTTATTTAACATGATTTTGAATGTGATTTCTTAATTCTAAACACAGCTACATCCCCAGTTATAAGAGGGTGTGCACACTTATGCAACCACATCTTTTTAGTTTTTATGTTTACTTCCCCCCCCCCCCCCCCCCCCCCCAAAAAAAAAAAAAGATTTAAGTTTGTTTTCCAATTGAGTTGTACAATTTATAGGTCACATTAAATGTGGAAAAAGTTCTGAAATTATTTAGCTTTGTCTCATTTTTTTTGCATCACAGAAACCTGACATTTTAACAGGGGTGTGTAGACTTTTTATATCCACTGTACAAGAATAATAATAATGATAATGATAATAAATAAAAGTGATCATTTTAATCACCCTGCCAGTGTTGAATGCTCTCATCCATGTAAACTGATACATTCTGCTGGAGAGTTTGTCCTTCTGATAAACAACAGACTAACTGGCTGGATCACCAGATGTAAACAGAAGAAAGAAAGTCTAAAATAGAAAACTAATACATTAGTTACTAATTATTATTATTATTATTATACAGGATTTAAATAGTGCCAACAGTTTGCTCAGTGCTTTACAAGTATAACGGGAGACAATACAGCAACAATACAGTTCAATACAAGAGGGATAGGAGGGCCCTGCTCCTTGGAGCTATCACATATAAGAATTGGTAAGTTGCAATATAATAAATGTTTGGTTTTGGGTTTAATGCTGCTTTAAGGATTATTTTTGAGGACAAAGAATACAGCATACATGTGTGAAGTACACTGTGAGTAGGCTCAGATTCTGTTAAGGCACATCCTAATTTTTGTCATAGTTTAACCAAACCCATCTTTTGCTACAGAATGCTACATGCCCTGCAATTCCCCAACTGTCGATGTTGTGCCCAGTTCTAAAGGTGAGAGGTATGTCCTGTCTGTTTAATTGTTGAGGTATTGATCTCTTCTGTGCAAGATAATGTTCAGTTGCAGAGCTGTCAGCTATTGATCATGTTAATGTTTTATGATATATTCTCTCTCTTTATTAAATCAGTAGTGCTCAAAACTTTTGATTTGCTTATTTGCAGACGTTCTTTCCAAACGTTAAGATAACCATAAATCTCCCCCATAATACAAAGCAAGAGTACTATAAACAAACAAAAGTGGCAGGCCAGCTTAGTGCAGATAGATCTATTTTATTTTTACAGTGCAGGATGCACAGAACAGAAAGTCTTTTTTGCTGCAAGGCACATCTCTTTGATTAAAACGCAGGCAACAGACAGCCAGAAATGAAGAGGGCATGGAGAAGGGAAACCAGCAAGGAAAAATAAACTTATGTCAGCCTACTGGAAATAACTGGAGGGCCTCCAATTAGAAATAAATTGCAGCCTGAAGCGTGGAATGCATGATATTCTCTAATGACGCAAGCTGTGCTGTAAAAGCCTTGCTGCACCAAAAAATAATAGAACCATGGATTTGTGTGACTTCCAGTTTCTTAGGGAATTTTAACATTTAACAGCACATGGAGAAAAGCAACCTGTTCAGTCACACGTTGTTCAACTGGCCATTGTCCAAAAACATCAAAATGACATTCAGTGACATACTAAATGCATAAAATTAGTAATTAGTAAAATTCTGGTAAATGCTGCTGCTACGTAATGCTACATGATCAATTCACATTTTTCTTCAAATACATAATCCACATTTTGGAATCATTGTTACATGGAAAGCCAACAGAGTACTCTGAATGTTAATTTGATCTTTGTTGTATCAGGAGAAAAACCATCCCATCTAAGGCTTGCATTAGGAAATATCCAATATACTAGTCAACTTTAATTTTAGGTGCTACAAGATGACAAGAGCCGAACAACAGTAATTATTTCTTATGATTGTTTTGTTTTTACATTTTAGCATGCGTAGTGGCTGTGTGAAAAGACATTTTATAAGTGTAGCAGTACCCCCTTAGGAGTCGCTAAGTTTTTGGGTCCCCCTTCAGTCCTACACATCTAGGCAACACAAGTCTGCTTCCTCCACACTTGCACACTGAGACCATAAGCAGTCCTTAGGCTTGTTTTTGTGATATTATTAAGGGGTATTAAACTTGGTTGGGGTTGAGAGATATATGGGATGCCCAAGGAACTGTGAACTGTGAGGACCAACTATGTACAAGTCTATGGACAAGAAGCAAATATCTGTCTCTTCTTTGAGAGTACTCCTG